TTGTCATGAGATTTTTGAAACTTGTAAGACATGGATACCACTCACTGCAGAAACATTACATTGTTCCTAACTGCCTGAATTACGTTTTTTTTTCTCCATTGTAAACTAGTCTCAATATTTTCAATGCCACTCATTTCATCAGAACAGGTTTGCAGTACTATTACCAATATTTGTAATAATATGTTCTTAGGTAAACAAAAAAAAATTACATTTGGAAACAGAATTATTATTTGCTTGCTTGTTTCTGATAGAATGGACTGTTGCAAGCAGTTGCAATGGCCATACTGATTTTTACTTTTGCTTGTTTCTTCTCACTATTGTAATGCCTTCTGCAGCATTTGGAGCAAGCCATTTGAAAATACTTTAAATGGACTAAGATATTAGCTAGCAAAAATGCTGGCTTTTGAAGTTTGAGTATTTATCTCAGTTTTTTATGTTTTAAAGCATCAATAGTTGGATGTTATTGAAGTAGCTTTGATATTATAAGGCTGAATTGTCCAAGAGCTTAAACTTCAATACTTCAGTATAAATAAAAGTGAATCGGAGCCATAATTTGTACATGTCTAAAACAGTGTGAAGGATAATTGTTATGTGTTTTTAAATAGTCAAAATTTAGCTTGACTGCTTTTTCAATACTGAGTTTGCTTTATTAAATTTATTGCCTGGTTATGTAGTCATAAATTTAACTACATCAGGTTTGTTTTAACACAGCAAGTGCCATTCACTCTAGCAATGCAACAATACAAAGAATGGGATACTAGAAAGATAAGTTTTTGCAAATGGTTTGTATCTGAGTGAAAATTTCCTTGAAATTAAAACAACATTCCTGTTATACAAAAACTACAGAGGATCAGTTTTGACTGGATTTAGGAACTAGGTGCCCATGCCTCTAGATTTAAAAAAGAAAACAAGGTTTGAGATATACCATTCCACATGTAATTTCCATAGGATACTTAAAGGATCAGAAATTTCTTTAGTGATGATGGAGACAATGAATGAAGATTAAAAAGAAAGAATAAGATTAAAAGAAAAATGAACACTTAGCAGAAGGAACCAAGATCAAACAGTGGATTAACTATTTTTCTTGTTGTTTCCCAGAAATTAAATAAGTATGGAGGATAAAGAATTTGTTTCCTTTTCGTCTTAGAAAAATGCCAATTATGGAAACTAAACTGCTGGATCGCATATCAGTCTGCTTTGGAAATGTGAGAAATGGATGGGAAATATAAACATAGGGCAATAGCTTACAGTTATGTTATGAATTAAGCCTGCAAAAGTATCAACATTTAGTCACTGAATAAACTGTCATAGCTAATCTTCCATGATGAATTTGAGCCAAATCAGAAAAGAAACTATAGCCTTATAGTTTTGAAGATTATCATTACCATGAGTTGAAAATCTTTGGTTAAGAAAGTTAGTGGAAGACAAATAAAAATATAGATGCGTAAAGAATCCAATATGGTCTCAAAATCCCAGCATAACTCATCTCATCTATTCTTCCTACCTTTCCTTCTGTGTGATTGTCCCATCTGCCATCAGAAGATCTTACCATAACTGAAATAATTAAAACTAGCTGAAGTTACAAAACAAAAAAGATTATGGATAGGATAGAATATTTATAGCTCAGGATTGAACCGAGCACTCCTTGGTTTGAATATTTTAGGAGCTCCTCTGTGCTTAATGGGTTTTTTTGCAGAGATTTCATTACCAAAATAGTTAGTGCTTGAAGGTTGTGGGGTTTCTCTCATTTTATATACTAATGCTTGTCCTGTCAGTGTTGGTGGGAATGGTTTTGATGGTTCGTTGATTAGGTTATTGTTTATTGTTAGCTTGTTTGTCTGAGTTGGTGGCTCCTTGATTGGAGTATTGATAGCTGCTGTTGGTCTAGTATTAATTTTGGTACTAATGTCTGCTCATCTGAGTGTTGATAGCTAGTAAGGAGATGTTTTGGTCTTTTGTTGTTTTCTTTGGCTTTTTAATTGTCTCTTTTGAGACATGTAGATATTGTTTATCTCTATATGCCTGTTGATTGTCAATTTGTCTGAGTGACAAACTTCAGGAATTATCTTGCATTTTTTGGATTTGGCATGGTCTAGAATACTCACAGTTTCCCAGTTTAAACAGTGGTTATGTCTGACCATGGGTAGTGACATTAAGGAATTTTCACCATATTTTTGACTACTACTTATGTTTATGAATATACTCTGCTAGTTTCCTACCCGTGTGTCCCACACAGTGACTGTTACAGTATGTTGTAGATGACTCCTGTTTTTTGGGGGGGTTGCTGGGTCTTTTGGTTTACTTAAAATGCTTTGTGTGCTACAGTGATGCCATGTGGTTGTAATAGTCTGTTGGGGGTTTCTGAAATGTTTTTGATATATGTCAATGTTATCCTTTTCACAGCTTGCTTTGATTGTACCATATTGGATTTTGATAAAGTTTTGTGAGTATCTATTTTGTTGGAAGATGTTGCAGAAGTGATCTCTTTCCTTTTTATGATGTTCAGGGTTGCTGCAGTGTGTTTGTGCTTGTCTAAATAGTGTTCTTGCACTGCTTTGGCAATGAAACATCTGCAAAAAAACAGTCAAGCTTAGAGACAACAAAAAACCCACAAAAAGATTATTCTAGATTTTGTACATACATTGATGAACATTGACTTTATTTTACAGTTTAGCTCTCTTACTGCATTTTGCAAATGTGCCTTTCTACATTTGGTGGAACTTAACCTTCTTATTCTCAAATGGTATTAAACTTCCCCAACTCTCCAGATTGTTGTTTCATGCCTATGATATCCTATTTGTAACTTACATAAGTATCAGCTGATCAAGTAGTTTCAGTTTCAGCTGTGATTGGTTCAAATATCTTAATGTCCCATTTCTGGTATAAAATTAGTTTTATAAATTCCACAGATGACAAGTTTTATATTCAAGTTCTGAGATATATAAATGAAACCTTTGGATATCTTGTTCATGAACATCAGTTGAAGAACAAAGCCTGCCTCACAAAACATGCTGTGCTTTTTAAAACTACAGGTCTCTCTGACTTCACATAGCTACCAGCCATAAATCACATTGACTAGCACAGGGGTCAGCAAACTGTCAGGACCCAAATTTAAAAATAAAAGTATTTTTTAAAAATATGTTTTAATACTATCCAAAATCTCATGAGATCACTAAGCCTTAAAGTATTCCACAGTTCTCATCTGAAACCTTTCAAAATGGGAAGACAGGAACAGCAAAATTTGGCAAAATTTAGATATCTGTGTATGATTGTGTGAATGTGTATGCACATGCATGCTTTACTCTTAGATGCATAGAGATGCATTTATATAGTGGCCTTCTGGACTTACACAGGCACTCTTACAGCCCTTTATGTAGTTAATCTTTTAGGAGATTGTTAAAATTCACTTTAAGGCAATTCGTGCTTTCTCTTGTTAAAAAACAGTAAGAGAATTATATAAGCCATTATCAACAGTGAGTAGGAGCCCTTCCTGTAATTGTAATCAACACAATAAATTAAAAGTACAAACACTTTAACTAATTTGTCAATGGACAGACCATTTGATCTAAGTCTCTTAGGTACACAACTCTAACTGCAAATGCCAGTTTACATTAATTGTAAATGCCAGTTTAAATTCTAAATGATGCTGCATCAGCATAATTTATAATAGTTTATAATATTTTAATGTAAATGTGAGCTACGAAGCACTCAATGTTTATTTTCAGTTTTTGTAAATATACTTTTTATTGTTATTTTTCCATATAATATTTTAATTAAACATTATAATTTTAACTGGTGGTTGAATGACTCTTCATGAAGAGCCTCAGTGGTGCAGTGGTTAGAGTGCAATACTGCAGGCTATTTCTGCTGACAGCCAGCTGCCTGTAATTTGGCAGATCGAATCCCACCAGGCTCAAGGTTTACTCAGACTTCCATCCTTCCAAGGTGGGTAAAATGAGGACCCAAATTGTTGGGGGCAATATGCTGACTCTCTAAACCACTTAGAGAGGGCTATAAAGCACTATAAAGTGGTATATAAGTCTAAGTGTTATTGCTATTGCTTTCATACTTAAGGGATAGCTTGTTCTTTCTACTTGGCTAAATTCTTTGTAAAATCCTATTCAAAAGTGCCTCTGTCTATTTGTTATATTAATTTCACCAAAATTTCCCATTTAATTGCAGTACTAATTCATGCATTGTATCAACCTATTTATTTCAGAAAAATAGTTGAGGTAAATATCATACCTCAACTAAGAGGACCATACCATGGAACTGTGCTTCACTGACATTATTATGTGTTCATTTTTTACATTTTTGTACTGTTCCTTGATATATAAATGAAACCACACTATTTGGTTATCATTTAAGATTATAACATAATTAAATGTGTACCTGTAATTTTCCTTTCTTGGAAAACACTAACTAGTTTCAGAATCCGAACATTGCTCTATATAAGTTTAAGATTTTTATATGCATAAAGATGTAGTTTGTGGAAACTTCCTTATATTAATCCCAGACAAAATTACTTAATCATATTTGATATCATAAACCAGCTACTGGTCACTTAGGACAGCTGCATTCCCCTAAATGGATACATCTCAGATGTATAGTTATTAGCTCCTAAAATATTCAAAAATATTATTGTAGGCTGGAGAAATCTGAAAGTTTCAAGGCATGCATTTGGTAGGTATCCAGAATGGAGAAACTCCATTACAGACTGACCATCCAATTGTTTCAAGAACAAGATTATGCTTGTGCGAGCAAAACATGATGGGAGCTGCTGTCTCCCTATATATATTGCTGGGGAGGTTGGCTTTGTTGTCATTTCTTGATTGGTTGATGGAGTTGATGTTTGCAGATTGGCTGGCTTTTCTTAAGAACATGTGTGGCTGAGGTATTGGCTGTGTGTCTATCAGCCTCCTGTGTTGTAACGACCTGGGTAATGGGCTGTGTGATGACCTTCTGAGTTCTATTGTTGTGACATCCTGGGTCTTGTGCTATAATCTCCTGAGTCATTGGCTGTGTTGCAACATCATGAGGTTTTGTGGTGTAACCTCCTGAGTTCTGTGATGTGATATCCTGAGTAGATGGCTGTGATGTGACATTCCGAGTTTTGGTTTGGCTACGAGTTTGAGACCAGGATATGTGTTCATGGCGTGTGTCCGTTTGCTTGGTTTGGGGATCGGGGTGTGTGGCAGCTGGTGATGTAGCCGCGGTCTGGTTTCTGGAAGGTGGTTGTCTTTCGTCTATGGGATGGGTTTGGGTTTGAGTCTGGTGAGGGAAAATGGTGGTAGTGTCGTGTGTTGTTTTGGGTCCGGTATTGGTTTTTGTGGCTGGGACTCATTTGTCGATAAGGGCTAGTTTCCAGATGTCTGGTAGGTGGGAGGCATCATCCCGTTTATTCATGTTATGGGGGTGTTTCTCTATTTCGATGGCTTCCCTGATTATTCTCTTGTTGAAGTGTTCAGTATTGGAGATTAATTTGAACTGAACACTATATATAGTATATAGAATGAATATATTCTCATGTTTCCACCAAGGGAATCATGATGAGATTATAGAAAGAATATGAGTTATAGTTGTACACATTATGAGATTATAACAGAATAAAATAGAATAATTTAATACAGAATCAAAGACTCATAGAGTTAGAAGGGTATTTAGATATCAGTTTTCAGTGCAAGAATCCAAATTAAAGGATCCCAGACAAATATTAATTAGCATTCATTTAACAGGTCCAGGGAGGACTAGCTTATAATCTTTCTGGGTCATTGGTTCTATTACAGAATGGCTTTATTATTATTAAAAAGTTTCTTTCAATATTCAAATGGAATTGCTATTTCTATATTTTCAATTCACTGCTCACTTTCCTGCAGTCTGGAATAAATCTATTATGTAATTTACTGTAGATCATTGACTGTGTTCTTTTATGTGATAACCTTTCAGATACTTTGAGTGTTTCAGTTGTGTTTTCTCAGAACTAAACATACAGAGCTCCTAAACATATAATATCTCTTCACAGAGTTTAGTTTGTAATCCATTAATCAACCACATGGCCTTTCTCTGAACTTCTTAAAGCTTTTCTGATTCCTGTTTAAATTGCAGTGCCCCAAACTGGTCACTATAATTGAGATGGGGTCTGACCCAGGTAGAATAAAATGGAATGAATTTTTCCCATGCATTGGAAATTATACTTCATTTAATTATTCATTTGCATTCTTTGTAACCGTGTTATACTACTGGCTTAAATTTAGTTTGCAATCAACTGTTTTTCCAAGGTCTTCTTCATAAAAATTTCTACCAAGCCAGATATTTCCTATCTGTATGTATTTATGTAATGCTTTAAACAAGTGAATAATTTTTGGGCTGTTCACTGTTAAATTTTAGTGTTACTTTTAGCTCATTTCATCCCACTGACACTTTTTGAATTTTATTTCTGTTTCTAAGATATTAATTATCCCACCCAATTCTGTCCCATCATTAATTAGAGAAAAATTGAGCAATGGACCATGCAGATCCATTGGCATTTGGTATGATATATTTCTCAGATTTGATGAAGTATTGATGAGGTCTCTTTGAATAGTTTTGAATTATCTGTGTAACTATTTAAAAGGGACACGTTGGCTCAGTGGCTAAGACGCTGAGCTTGTTGACCAGAAAGGTCAGCAGTTCAGTGGTTCGAATCTCTAGCACCACGTAATGGAATGAGCTCCCGTTACTGGTCCCAGCTTCTGCTAACCTAGCAGTTCGAAAGCATGTAAAAATGCAGTAGAAAAATAGGGCACACTTTAGTGCATTCCATACACCTTCAGCATTTAGTCATGCCGGCCACATGACACAGAGATATCTATGGACAGCACTGGCTCTTCAGCTTTGTAATGGAGATGAGCACCGCTCCCTAGAGCTGGAAACAAGTACCACGTATACACGAGAGGAACCTTTACCTTTATCTATGTAACTATTTATTTAGCTGTGATTTATGAAAATGAATTAGTCATTACCACGACCTACTTCTTAGTAAGCTAGAAAAAAGTGGAATAAATAGCACCACCACTAGATGGATTCGCAACTGGCTGGCAAACCATACTCAACGAGTAGTCCTTGATGGGTCTATGTCTACATGGAGGGAAGTAAGCAGTGTGGTGCCACAAGGTTCTGTCTTAGGCCCAGTACTCTTCAATGTCTTCATTAACGACTTAGATGAGGGAATAGAAGGGGAACTTACCAAATTTGCAGATGATACTAAGCTGGCAGGAATAGCTAACACCCAAGAAGATAGGCTCAAGATCCAGATGGATCTTGACAGACTAGAACACTGGGCCATATCTAATAAAATGATATATAGAGAAAAGTAAAGTCCTACACTTAGGCAAGAAAAACCAAAAGTACACATATAGACTGGGTGAAACCAGGCTCAATAGCAGTAACTGTGAGAGGGATTTTGGAGTCTTAGTGGACAACCAACTTAATATGAGCCAGCAGTGTGCAGCAGCTGCCAAAAAAGCTAATGCAATCCTAAATTGTATTAACAGAGGGATACAGTCAAGATCAAGGGAAGTACTAATACCACTCTATAAAGCCTTAGTAAGATCACGCCTAGAGTAATGCATCCAGTTTTGGTCACCAGATTATAAAAAAGATGTTGAGACTCTAGAAAAAGTACAGAGAAGAGCAACCAGGATGATTAGGGGACTGGAGGCTAAAACATACAATGAATGGTTGCATGAACTGGGCTTGGCTAGTCTAGTAAAGAGAAGGACCAGGGGAGACATGATAGCAGTCTTCCAATATTTGAGGGGCTGCCACAGGGAGGAAGAAGTCAAGCTATTTTCTAAAGCTCCTGTAGGCTAGACAAGGAATAATGGATGGAAACTGAACAAGGAGAGATTTAACCTGGAAACAAGGAGAAACTTTCTGATAGTGAGAACAATCAATCAATGGAACACCTTGCCCTCAGAAGTTGTGGGAGTGCCATCAGTTGAGACTTTCAAGAAGAGATTGGACTGCCATTTGTTAGAAATGGTGTAGGGTCTCCCGCTTGGGCGGGGGGTTGGACTAGATGACCTACAAGGTCCTTCCAACTCTGATTATCCGTATCTGTATCTGTATTAAGTGCCAGAAGATTAATGCATTCCATAACTATTATTACTTCCAATGGATAAATCTCTATTTTGATGATTAAAATGTCATAACTTTACATGGATTGGTTAAAGCAGAGATAACTAGGATACCATCAGAAGACAATATAGGATTGAATTATGGAGTCCTTGCTACATTCTGTTTGCTGTTTTCTTGCAGAGATTTTGTTACCTGATTAGGTTACATGTTCCTGCAGTGCAGTGAAAATGTTAGTTACCTAACTGGATAATAAAATATCTGCAAGAAAACAGCCAAGTTTAGGGAGTACCAATAACCACACCAATTATCAAGATATCCAATCATGGGCTACATAATTGTATCTCATCCTTTTTTGGGTAGAAATCAATTTTACTAGGGAATTCTGCTCCTGTGGCATTAAAAGCCCGTTTTATGTCATAGGTTGATAAATTGTTCACTGTACCAAAATAATTTTATAATCTGCTAAGATATTAGTTACCCATTAAGAGGTGATATATCTAGTGGCTAGAAAGCTGACACACCCTGTTGCTGTGTTCATAAACATGCAAATAACATTCCCACTGCTATCAACCAGCAAAATACTATGGCTGCACAATCAGAGACAACAGGGAACTGTATGTGAAATAGTCATGTAAACCAGGAGTATACATTCATTGTAAATTTCAAAGTTAAGTGTTTTGTTAAAAATACACCTTTTTTAGTGTTTTGCATAACTGTATTAGCTACTAATTTACAGTTTTGCTTTCTTCCCTCTTCACTTTTTCCCTTACTTTTACATTTAGAATCCTGGGAAATCTAATCATGCGTGTCACCAAACCATAGATTATTCATGTAGAAAAGTATAGCTCTTCCATTCTTTTAATCATATTTTGGGTCCAAACTCGGTTGTCCTCTATATTGCAGGGAAAAGATCTGTAGCTACTCTTGTGTTTTAGATGTCTAGGGAGATTCCCAGTCATTCAGAGATCATGGTTGTCCCAAAGACGTTATTCAAAAGGCAACTGGACTTTCTTGGTTTTCTTCCTTGAAAAGGTTTACTTCTCATCCAAGAAACTTCTTCAGTTCTGGCTGAATGGTGGGGGTGGGGGTTTTTTATGGCTTGTGTTTTAAATTCCATGGAACTATTGTAAGTTTGTATTTTTTTAAAGTAGAATTTATTTCAGTGGGAAGTGCCATCTTCAGAAAGTCCAAAGGACAGTCTTACATAGTCTAAATTCACACTATTTTTCCCAACAGAAGCTAGCCAGATATGTCAGAGAAGCACATGAATATCTAGCTTGGGCTACTCAGATTCAGAATTATATCCCCTGAAGACCGGATGATATGATTTAGCACTCATATCTAATCGTAGATGATTGCTTGACCTGCCATAAATTTGTCCTAAACATTTTTTTAAAAAAATTAAACTCGAGGTTAGAGCAAGAATGTTCTGGAGGTAATCATCAGATCTCAAGCATAAGAAAGGCATCTACCCTTTCACCTTCTTAAAATTGTGTCTTCTTTTAAAACTATCCATAGCATAATAGATTTTCTATATAAGAAGGGGAAAAAACTATTTTCAGTGTTTTTGTGTTAAGAATTGCACAGTGGTGCTCCTTTTATTGTTGACATTAAGACTTAGATTAACAGACTTGTCTATTAACTATTATGCAGGCTTGCTACTTTATAAATAATAAATTAATATTGCATTTATGGAATATTATAATGTTTATTTGAAACTAAGATATGCTGTCTACCATGTAAAGACAACCACTGAATTGTAAGCCAAATACCCAGAAATTTCCAGAAGTGAGAAACAGTTTTCTAAGTTAGATGGAAAACAAATGATTATAACCTTAGTAATTATTCATTTAATCAACCTACTGCCTGTTTTATTGCATCTTATTGCTAAAATTTGTCTTAGAAATTTATTTTCCCTCTTTTTTTTCTTTCTGTTTTTCTTTACTTTGTTGGGGAATTTTTGATGGAAATAATATTTTAAATTGGGTACAGTTGTTTGCAAATTTCAAATAATAGGAGATCCATAATCACTTTAATTACCAATATAAAATGGTTTGTAAGCAAGCAAGAGCATTGCTACTGTGCCAAGGACTAAGATATCTGAAACTTTCAATTAATAACACAATGTGTGGCATTTTAATTGTACCTCAAAAGCTTTTCAGGTCCTTTAAATGGACACAGAACGGAAATATTTCCTTATGTAAGGAAAAGGAAATTGTTGCACAGTATGGGTCCAAGATTTGCTTGAAGACACTGAATGGTTAATGAAGCCTCTGAGCTATTTACAGACTCAAAACAAAGAAAGCTATAGTTCTTTCTTATCAGCAGATGTTTTTTCATATTGTATATCGGGCTGACTTGATTAAATTAGCTGGTAAAGGTCAAATGAAATATGTCTTCCCATTTCTATTCTGATTTTTCCTGACAATCCCTGACAGACCTGATAATAAATAGGACTTGTCCACAATAACTGTAAAGTTTCCTATATTTGGAATTACATCAGCTCATAGGAACACTTACCTTACTCCACTGTAAAATTATCTCACCAGAGACTTTTGTTTAATGTGTACTTGCACCATTGCATTCTAGTTTCTGTATTTTCATGGTGACCTTAGCAGTATAAAAATTGGACCATAGTGCCCTGTCTTCAGGCTCATTTTAAAAGGAATTAAGTTTTCAGTAGAGATATCTTGAAAAGGAAACCAATAGTTTGCCTAGCATTAACTTCAAAGCTCATGTCTTTCTTTGTGTACATATAACCTCATCATGTTTGTTAATTTACTCACCAAAACCCATGTGTTCAGTGGTGGTTAACATGGTTAAGTCAATCTCATGGAATTCCTGAGCAAAGCATATAATTCCAAACATGTCTAAATTAATGTTCAGTTTCTTTCATTTTGCAATTTAGTAAAATTTCCCCATAAAAATAATACACAAAATAGCCAAACAGATATTATGTGTTTTTCTCTTGGAAATAATTTTCTTTCACCTACCCCAAGCTGTCTTTCAGGTAGTACTACTGCTATCCAGAGACTTTTCCTGAAGGAAATTAAATTAATTTGGAATGGTCCAAATTCTATCAGGCAAAACATCTTATAGGAAAGATAGAGATTCGCTTGTACTTCATTTTGCTAGAATAAAAAAAGCATGAAGGTACCAACCACAGAAAAAGGAGACTGAAGCTAGATGGGCATCTTAAAACTGTTCTATATTTTAGGTATTTCAGAATCCATTTCAAAAGGTACTTCAAAAAACCTTTTGGCAATCAAGTCATGTGATAGTCTCCCCAGACACCAGACTGGACAATGGGGAAGAGCCAGCCCCAGAAACTTTGGAGGGGGGAGAAAACTTCTCAAAGCAGCACTGGTAAGTTGCTAGGAGCAGCATCTGTAAGTTGCCAACAGCTCTAAGCCAGGAGTGGAGGGACAAAGTTCAGTGGAGAGGTTGACACAAGGGTGACCAGACAAACAGCCAGCTGATAGAGGAAAAGGAAAAGCACAGATGCACCTGGAGACACTAGAGGGCTGATGGGAAGAGCAGGGCAGAGAAGGTGCAGAGCTGCAGCTGTCTAGTGGTGATGTGGAGGAATTGCCTCCTTCACTTGATCCACAAACGTGAAGGACTGAGAGGAGGCAGGCACAATGAATGTCAGTGAGGCTATTTGCGAGGCAGCAGCTTCACCCCTCTGATGAGCTGCACTGGTCATGGCTATTTAACCCACTATGTGGAGCACAGCATCATAGCAACAACTTATCAGTTTCTTGCAGTGCATTCATTCAGCCATTGTGATTCTTGCCATGGATTTAAATCTTGACTCTGCTGCTGGACATGGATGCTATTTTTGTACTTTGTACTTGCTTCTTCAACCTTTGAGTAGGATTTTGGTTTTAGTTATTTATACTCAGATAGTGAACTTGTCTTTGTACACTGAACCTGGTGAGGGGACTTTATAGGCTTGCTCTGCATTTCCAGATAGGAAAATTGGATTGATGAGGTTTGCACTAGTTCCTGGGCGCAGGAAGATTGAATACTGGGAGTACTATTTGGAGTTGATAAAATCCTATAAAGATTTCAACCCTTGGGGGGAGTGTTTGTGGAGCAAAACAGGATACATTCTTTAATAATGATTTTTGGCTCCAGTTGAACTTGGACATTTTAAAAAATAAAAATTTAGAATGGGACCAAGGTATTAATTTCCTTTCAGATGATATTGACATAAGAGAGAAGCACAGTAATAAAGGATTTTTTTTTCCAGCTTAATCTCACATATCATGTAGGGCTATGTAAAGGATACTTACCTGAGATTTAGGAAAGCTGCAACAATAGTCAATAATTCAGAAAATGATAGTGGTAGTACCAAGCTATCATGTCTACCGCTTGAAGATAATATAACACAGAAGATCAGATAAAAGCTTCTTAAACCCTTGTTCTCTTTCATTTTAAGCGAGGACAGCAGTAATCACCTTTGTCTCCTGGTAATCAATATGTGCAGAACCAAGCTTGAAGGACCAATGGTTTGACAAAGAGCATGTCTTATTTCCATTCATCCAGTCATCACAAACAGTGTGAAATCAACCTGTGATTGACTTTACTCCTTCAGTTCTTAAAATTTTGATAACAGAGCTCCATAAGCTAATCAAAAATCATAATTTAGTTGACACATCTCCTTCTGGGGAGGAGGCAAGGTAAAAGGGGTCACAAAAATCCTGCCATTTTTCTCCAAGAAAAATGAAGATAAAATGCTAATCACAGCCCTTCTCCCATAGCATGAAATAAGGGAATTTATTTGGAAATGGAATGCCCACAAGTGTTATAAACCCATAGAATTTCAAAGCAAATAATAGCTTGTTTCAATTTCAAATTAACTGCATCAGAGTGTAATGGTATGTGAGAATGGCCTTGGGTGACTTGAGTGGAAGAGGGAAGAAACAGACAAGAGCTGGTGGGGCAGTGGTTTCACAATTGGAGGAAATAGCTTAGGAAGAATCTGCCCTAATTAATCAGGCAGTTAAAAGTGGCAGTGGGAAGTTTGTAGCTTACAACTTGCAAAATTGATGTCAGCCCTTCCAGGTAAACCAGACACGAAACATGACTAAATGAGCTAATTTTACTTTACTGTAAGGCTACATTAACAGAATATTGCAAGTCTGAAGATATAAACTTCCCACTGGTACTTAACAGCCTGATTAATAATGGTGGGGCCTTCCTACAATATGTATTTTCCTCTGATCATTAAGCAACTAAGGGTTTCCCCTTCTCATTTTCTTGGTAGCATCCCTTCTCTTCAATCTTCAAGATCATTCCCACATACCATTACAAGACCCAGCGAGAAAAACTATTCAATTCTCAAAACAACATATTAGCAAGATTGTTGATTAGCAATATTGAGACAAGGTTGAACTAGGCTCCAGATTAGAATGGAAAGGACACAAAGATGCTTCTCCAAAAGGCAGCTTGACTTTCTTGGTTTTTCCATGACAACATTTCACTTCTCAGCCAATGAGCTTCTTGGATGAGAAGTGAAACGTTTTCAAGGGAAAACATACAAGAAAGTCTAATTGCCTTTTGGAAAAGCATCTTTGGGACAACCATGACCTGCATGATTGAGAAACTCCATACATAAAGAACACAAAGATTTTTCCTCATTCTTCTTTTTTATGATAAAATATCATATATATTTTGTCTGGTGAACAGCAGTGTTTTCTGAAAATCCACTGATATTGTATTAATACAAGCTCACAAAATTCATCACCAAAAGCAGTAAGTGCTTAGCAAGTTTCCATAGCTGTTTATTCATTATAAATAGTAAATATTTACTGCGCTTTTTTAATATGAGTTTTTTTGTTTTTACAACACATGTGTTGTTGATAGAGAATGTAACATAAAGATAGTATTTTGTTCAATCACTCTTTAAGACCAATGTGTGAACTAAATTCTGTACGATATCCTAGTCCTACTAATTTACTAATTTCATTGAACTGAATGCTAAAAGGAATGAATTTGTGCTCTACCTCACTCACCATTCCAAGAATAAAGAAAAATAAATAACACTGTCTGCCATCTTCCTGTCCCTCCTAACATTTCAAAAGATAAATTTATTGACATTTGGAAATGTCACAACATGTATGTAAACCTTGGTTTCCACTGAATTATATAAGATGCAATTGTATAATTTAAAATTACATGATAACTACAGAGACATAGTGATTTATGCCCTGTATTTTCTAGAAATAATGTAAACATAAGCATTTTAAATGTAGCATTTCCCCCAAAAGTCCCTTTTGATCTAATAAAATGGAGATCATTGAAGCAAACTGTGACACCTCTATATACTAAAAGAGTGAAATATGCATTGTAAAAATAAAAGTACTTGGAAAAAATATAATTTTGATTCTATATATAATGCCTTGGATGCAGCCAAAGCTTGGTGAGGTACGCCATATTGCACATTGTTAAGCAATCATAGAAATTAAAGTTATTCTGTATTTTTGTTTGTTTCTTTCAGGAGGTAACATGGACTAGGAAAATTTCAAACACAAACGATCTTGCAAAACTTTTCTTCATGTTACAAAATGTGTCATTTGCTGTTATGAAGAAAAGTCCTTTTGTATGTGACACTGACCAACAACAGGATTACAAAAACAAGAAGATAACCAATAACTTATTTGTGGAAGTCTTCAAACATCTAGTCTAGCACCCTACAGACTTTAACATTTCCTTTCAAGGTCATTTTCCAGTGTGTTAAACAAGGTTCTTCAGCCCATGCTTTGCAAAATGAGCACTATCAAAAGTCGGCACTGAAAGTTTCACAAAAAAAAAAATGTTCCAATTTTGCAGCACTCAGACCACAATGTCCAAGTTAATCCATGGATCTTCATCAATCTAAAAATGGAATGCTTACTTCAACCCAGCAATGTGAAAACTTCTATTTTTCTTATTTGTTCTTAGCCAATGCCATGGTGAACCGAACTATTTTATTTCTGGTACTGTTTGTGGTCTTTATTTTCTGAGCTGCTTTACCCAACATATTCAAATGCCTTATTGAAAGCACCGATGAGAAAAGAATAGTCCCATTTATCACTAGTACGATCTCTGCATTCTGGGCCTCATTTTGGTGAGAAGATTTCTCCATTCCAAATACTGGACTGAGACCAGGACCAAGACCAACTTTAATGTGAAATGGACCATTCACTTATGCAATATCTGGCTTCAGATAATGAAAGGCACCTGTAAAAAGAAAAAAAGAAAGAAGAAGCATAATAAGCTTTTTAAGTCATGCTGTGACAACCCCACAGCAAGGGGCAGTGTCAACTACAGGTTGACATTGTCATATTTAATACTAATATATCAAAGGAAAGGGACTAATATGCTTATTCTTAGACAAGTTTGACAAAACTCTATGTATCTGGGATTATATACTATAATGATTCTTGAGCTGACCTCATTAAGAACATGTGTTTCTAATAGTGGAATGCCAGTGGTTATTTCATTTTGGACAACTCCTCTGTTTTACCTAATGGCAATCAGGTTTCATGTCTCAACAATTAATAACATCAAGATGTTGTTGACATCACTTTAGAAAATAATTATGCAGCAGAAATGTTGCTGAAATTATCTACTGTCATAGCAGCAAATGCATCTATCTCTGCAATAGGAAGAAAATGCATTTTATTTTTTTTATTTGAAATATTATGCTATATTTTATTATTAAATATAATGTGTATCAAATATATCTATTTTACTTATCTGCATGCATTTTGTGGTTTTGAGAAGCATCATGACCCCATCAAGTTTTAATCAAATTTGTTTTTTTTAAAGTACCAAGTTTCTCATATCTCTCAAAACGTACATTTCAGTACAATGGTGTAATTCTTATTGCTGTATAACACAGACTTTACTATAAGATCTGGCTACCCATCAGATTTTGCTGAAAAAGATATCACTTTCCTTCCTTTCTCCTAGCCGTTGCTGGATTACATTTTTAATCCCCCAAACAATATAAAAGGCTGCTTAGGAAACAGCAAGGTCACTGAAAATACAGTAGTTTGCTCATGCACACAACATCCTCCAAATCATCAAGAGATACATCAAGGCAGTATTCCCCAACCAGGTGTCCTATAGATATCCTGAATGGTTTCCATCATGACAACTAGCCTAGTCAATATTGCCTAGGAATATACTAGCTAGGACTGATAACTATTCATTCTGATTATTTCAATGTGGCCAGGATAGGAAAGGAATGATTAAGGTGTTGCATCCACTGTGATGCAAACCAATATAAATGCAACTTCACTGATCTGGCTAAAGGCTACACTATGGGTGTCCAAGGGTCAAGAGGGAAGGGGGGGCTAATTGCAATACATGAGTGGCAATCTAATCACACAAGCATCTTGTTAAGAAAGATATCCTGACACAAATATGTAATCACAGTATTTGCACAATTATGTCATCATCTATGTCATCATTTTGGTACCATCAGGTTTCCTGCAGATGTTGCTGGGTTGAACTATACTTATCTGATCATCACCATATACAGTAGAAAGAACTCAGCCTCTAAATAGAGTTGTCAGTCCAGAACTAATCTCCTGCAGGTTTATGACTAAATATTTTTCATAAATTGGTACAACCTTTTGTCTAACTGCTTAAGGCAGTATGCACAATTCTCCTGCCTCCAATTTTATCTCAACAATAGTGAGTTTGTTGGGGCAAACAATCTAATTCTGCAACTCAGTTAGCTTACCCAACCAAGAATAGTTTTGAACTTGGTTCCTCCCAGTCCAAACCAGCACCTTGTTATACAATTGATAACTGCTCGTTGTTTGAATGAGATTTTTAATTGGTTAAAAAACAAAAAAACACCAGAATCTATGATGAAGAGATAGATTCCAGGAACACACATACATTGTTGATGATTTAATACTCACTTTGTCCATATTGCCCATACTGATAGCCTGGGACAGGATCCATACTGTAACCGGTAGTGCTGTATGTTGGTGGGCAGTATGACTGAGATGTCGGCAGGCTATCTAAACTTTTCATATGATCTAGTCTTTGACTACAGCTTGCAGACACTGTGGTGGTTGGTTCTAAACCCCCAGTTAATGGTGACAAGGCATAGTCAGTTTGGGGTTGGTGAGGGACTCCTCCATGGTTAGTTAAGAGGCCCATTACCTAAAATAAAAAAAGAAAGGGAGAGAAAGTGAGGCTATAAGCTATATTTTAAGCAATCCACAAATTACTTTATTATTCCTATATCTGTTACTTGGTTTCTGTTCTTTGATTCCAAAAATAGACACATCACATAAATTTTGGTAATAACATATAACTGGCACTCTATTCTAATATACAAACATGGAAAATCTCTAATGTGTGATTTCTAATGTGTGAGCACAATGATATCTTTTAATTGTAACATGTTTTCACCATGATTATTTTTAAAGTGCTAATACTCTATAAGGTTAGTTCTTTAAAATTCTATTATTCTACAATTTTTTATGTTCTTTAAAAAAGAAGCAACAATTATTTATCTGGAGGAATCTTGTTTTCCCATTAAAGGGTATATGTTGTTTTCCAGTCACATGGTAACAGATGCCCAAGTTGTGAAAAACAATGTGTGTTCTGATTAATATCAATATTATACATATTATAACACAGATACAAACCTCTCCAATAGTTTATGTTCTTACACAAAAAAGAAGGAGCAAGCACAGCCATTCTGGCCCCACTTTTTCATTTCCCATCCCTGCCTGTTACCTTCTGTTGCAGGCAAAGACACTTGTCTGCTGCCAATGACATCTTTTAAAATGATACACAGGGCAAAAGCACAGTAATACCAGAAAAGAAAAGACAGCACCAAATCTAAACTACAATTTTCTTTAAGCTTGATTGAGAAATTATGGCTTTAAATTTACAAGGAAAACTAAAACCAGTTGCAAGATCAAAGATAGTCAAAAGAACTAGAAATGCCCTGTGGAGGTTCAAAGAGAGATGTGTTTGGTTTGGTTGTTTTAATCAACAACCTCCCAAACATTTAAGCAACAAAAGTCATTAGCTGTAGTGTATTTTTATTACTCTTGAACATTGAAATGAAAATCTTTTTCTTTAAATCTCTGGTGTGCACTGCAAGGCCTCCATAATGCAAAGTACTCACTCACACACACAACATTCAGTATATAAACTTACACGTATGTATGTATGTATGTATGTATGTATGTATGTATGTATGTATATATGTATGTATGTATGTATGTAGAGAAATAGATTATATGTTATGTTGTGTTGTGTTAGGTTAGGTTAGGTTGCTTTGTCATGTTATGTTATGTTAACATTGCATTGTATTATATTAATCATGTTATTGAACATGCACCACAGCACTTCTTAAACTTTTTAAACCAGGGGACATTTTTCTTTTTATATTAATGAGGAACACCTATGAAAGATGCAGAAAGCATGAGAGTATGAATTTGCAAAAATAATTGAATTGTCTACCTTCTTGAGCACTCTAGCTAGTTTACAATACAGTAATAAAAACATCCATAAAATTATAGAATCTTTTTTTAACCTCTAAAAATGTGTTCCTATTTTTTAACGGAACCCTCTTCCCCCTCCTCCCACAAAAAAGCCCTGTAGAAGAGGAATAGCTCCAGCTGCCTTCTTAAAGGATAAAAGGTGGGTGTCTTCAACTGATGAGTTAATTTACAATGTGTGGTTATGACCAAGAATGCTGTTTTCTGGGTTTCCATTGCCATAGTCTCTCTGTGGATATCTGTAGTAGCTTCTATAGATAGCCAGATTCTGTAGAGTGGACAGATTTATCTGGAGAAGAATCTTGAAGTTGATAGGGCTAACATTACCATAGTCTAGTTTCTCTGAAGCTATAGAAACATAGTTAGCAGATGTTATAGACAGTGATACAGGCATTTTTTCTTATATAGGAAATTGGACTCTTCACTGTAAATGAAAATCACCAGAGTTCACTCAATGGCTACAGCCTTACTAAACTTGGAATAAATCCCTTTATAAACTCGCTGGAATTTTGTGAGTTGCCCCATACAGACTTTTGCATTACATGATATAAATGCAAGCAGCTGGTATACAACTTCAAAGTCCAGTGATTCAAAAAAAAAAAAAAAATCAAAGTAATCTACAAATGCTGTTTACTTTCTTTTTCAAAAAGCAAAATAAAACAAACAATAACAAAACCCCATCCCAAATGTTGCAAGCTTGTTAATATTCAATAGTTGTAGTAAATGAATTTGGAAAACAGCTGTTAAATTTATAAATTTCATTTGCTGCTTTCAATAATTAGATTTAGTTGTTTTTTTAAAACAATTACATCAATTCCCACAGTTGATACACTGGAAGAGAGAAGAACAGGATTTTACTATTTTTCCTCTAAAGAGGAAATGGAGGTTGGGAGGGGGTTGTGTGTTAAAAACCCAGGAACACATTTTCAGAGATTTTCAAACATTGTTATATATTTTATGGGTGTTTTTAATATACTATTGTTAACTTGCTATAGTTGCTCAAATAGCAGATTGCAAATAATTTGAATTAAATAAATCCAGTTATCCCCCAATTTAATTCTGCAGTAAATTATCATAACTCTACAATTTTAAACTCAGGAACATACCACAATTTTTAGGAGATAAAATTTTTCTGACTAAAACTAATTTTATTAAAAGCTATTTTTTTACTAAAATATTAAGCAGAAATTGCATTTTCAATCCATAATTTTTGATAAATCTGGAGTTCTGCCTATTATTGTGTTGCCTTTCTATATGCCACTAATTCTTTGAATAGTGTTGAGTGGTATTTTGGTCCATAATATCTGTGGGGTAGAGTAGAATTATTCTTCCCAAGATTTCATTCAATTTATCAAGATGTTATGATGGCCCTCTTTTCCATTCTAAGCTTTTGTAGTATTTGTAATTCATATTTCATTGTAACAGGATTATTTATCTCCAAATTGTTAACAATCATTGTAAAATTTGCTTCCAACTTGTCTAAACTTAATAAAAACACAAGCAGATTAAATTAAAACAAATTAAGTTTTTAATCATCATTATCAAATAGTGCTTCCCTATCTTTGAGGATGAAAAAAGCAACAACACTACTAAAATTGTTATTTCAGAAATATCTTCAGAGGCTTTCAGAACTGTGCTGCAGTTGATTAGCATCTAAATAATTAGATTTTGGAAGCATTCTCTTTGAAAGTCATAAGGAAAGTTGCCTAAAGGCAGAAACTCTGCCTTGTGATATGTGTCATGACCTTATAGCACGGGAACAAGGAGTTACTGAAAGGGCACTGTTGGCTTTCACCTAACTGCTTGGGCTAATCGAGAACTTATTCTGAGACACATTTAAAAGTTTGTTTTCCAAAGGGATAAATAATTTATGCTTTCTCAATGAGGTATCTTCCAATGACACCTGTAGCTTTCTTCTTTCCCATCCCAATTGGTGTATCATACAAAACGACATTTCCAGTTACTGCATTTTCTAGTGATATAAATTCAACTGTAACAGATTTTTTTTCCCTAAAGTTTTGCCTTTTCTGGAAATAAAATATCATTGCAGTTTAGATTATTATTAGTTTACAAATAGGTGAAATTGACAAAAATTGATGTCCTAAAGTTTGACTCCTAGTGAAAGCATCCATGAGGTTTTCCTGACAGTTTTTTGCCACTGCCTTGTTGCGGCATTAAGGTATCTATTTATTTGCTTCCAAGTCTAGTCAAAAGTCTTAGTCTTCTTAGATAGTCACCCATCCAAGTATTAACTAGGATAAAGTTCACTTCACTTAGGTTCTATGGTCAGTCAAAGCCATCTAAATGTTGCCACCTACTGAGATTTATAACAAGGAAAAATGAACTGGGGGTATTTATATTGTTTGTTTGTTAAATTTATTTGCCACTGATCTCGCAGTGGGGCTTCTCGAGGCAGCTTGACATGATTCCCAAAGTTTTACTGGTACTATGGTTGGTTTCCTTTAAAAAGTTGTATTGTTGAAAAACAAACAACTTCTGCATTCATTATATTAAAGTGTTATTTTAGCAAATCTGATAAAAGACTATATTATTTTGAAGTTCTTTTAAGGCAACATTGTTTTATATACATTATATGCATCATACATTTTAATGTTAGTCCTTTGAACTTTCAACAATGAACGAAAAAGATAAACAAATATGACATAAATATATTCACGTGTTAGCTGTTTGGAATATGGAGTCATTCCTGTTAACTGCTTAAAAAGGGGGGGGGGACCTCAGTTTTTCAATCTAACATGGAGTTTATTTTTTTTCCCTGAGAGACTTCATTCAATTTTTGTTTATATATCTACATAAATTTCAGCTGATTCAAATGTATTTTTAAATTGGATTCTGCTCAAATTAGATGAAAAGTGAATTTTTTTGCCCCTTTAAATAAAAAATCAAATTCAGTGATTTATGCCACATTTTATGTAACTGAAGCAAAAAGGTAAAATGAAAGTGTAGCAGCAATTTTTCTTCATGGAAAATACCTATATATTTATTGTTTTTATTAATTTCATCCACTGACTCATAAATATCTAGCAAGGAGTTATAAAATATAAAACAATTCAGTAGTGAAACAAAAGATACGTATCACAAACAATGAAAATATAGCATGAACACTGAAAATAAACATTAAACATGCAGAATTAAAGTCCTGATTGTACAGAAACATCTAGGTACATTCAAATAATGAAGACCAAGTTACTGATTTTGGAAGAGGTTTCCACAATTGAGGTGCTGTTGATAGAGGGACCACTCTAGAGAGTTGGACATGTATCTGAATTCTCATTAATGCTGGGAATGAAATATCAGATGTTTTGTAATTAGTGCACAATTGAATAAATAAATATGCTCTACTGGTGCACAATTATATTTTAAGCTTATATGTAGTACTCATTTAGTGACTGTTTGCAGTGATGAAAAAGCAATTTTACAACCACTCCTCACATTTGCAATCTTTTTAAAGGTCTTTTAAGCAAAGAAAAGTTGAAGTAAGATTAATAAGCAAAGTTGTGGTTTCACTTGGTGACAGTTTCACTTAATGACCAAGTTGCCAGTACCAATTGTAATCACTAAATGAGGATTACCTATAATGTAAAAGCATCTGAGAGCAGTGACAGTACTTGGCTCACCTTCAAAATCTGAATACGTTAGGTAGGAGTTAGATGGAAGACATCAGGGCTCTTAGGGCAGTAGGCCAGACTAAAAGATTGAAAAGAAATCCCACAAGGAAGCATGGAAAATCAGTTCTGGATCATTGTCAGGAAAGTTTAATATCTTTCTTTCTCTCTTATATATTCATTTTGTCGAAGTGTCAAGTTTGATTCAGGATCTAAACCACCCTTCTTACCCAGCTCTAGTTTCTCAGGAGATATGGTAGGTGTGTAATTTTAATTAGATTGAGCCTTTCAGTAGTATTGATTTACAACAAAATTGCTATGTTGCTTTTCTACATTTGCTACAGAAGGGACTAACTCTTCTATGAAAAATAGTCAAATATATATCTTTTTAAAAATATGTAGTAGGTTCCACTTTCAGTATGGAATTCCCCAAATAGAAACATCTATCAAATTATTAAACAGGACACACCTAATCTCAATGATGCAAATTCTGTTATTTCAATGAAATACGATGTCACTTAATAGGACAGGAATGCTGACATACTATTAACATTTGTAAAATCC